TGTAAATCTGTAAAGACTGGATTCTGTAACCATTGGAAGGACAGCGAAGACAGGGGAGGGGACATTTTAGGAGTCTTCAAAAGGGGAACAGAGATGAAATGTGAGCTTCCAACAGCATTTTATTTCCTTTGCTAATGACCTGACATCTCTGTGTACAGCCTAACTCCCCACCCCACCCCCAAAATGGCCCCTACACAGGTTAAAACTAGGGAATAACAAGGCTTTACACCCCAACTACTCAACCAAGAGAAGAGATCTGGGCCAGAGTGCAAGACCACAAAACAGAGGAAAGAGACAGGAGGTGAGATGGAGAAAGCCCTGCCCTACCTACACTGACCAAAGAACGGAGGAGATGACCCCAGGGCTCTGCAAAGAATCCACTTCCACAAGACCAAGATGAGGACGGGTTGGGGAATCCAATAGAGCCAAACAGCTGACGGCAAAGTTTAGTATCACGCCAGGTTGCCAGCCAGTCAAAAGCCCCGTTGGCTCTACTTTTTTCACACCATCTTATTTTATTTGCTTTTAACCTTTGTTTCCCTGTAAAAGTTTTGAAAAATTCCAGTCTTGTCCTAGGCTGCTGTGGTGCAAAGGGGTGCGCTCACTCCCATGGCAATAATGCTGGCAGACAACTTTGCAGCCTCTTCCCTCCTGCCTGTTACATGTATCTCATCAGAGGGGACTTTGGAGGAAGAACAGAGGGCTGGGATCAAGGAAGGGCAATAGTATAGGATGGGGAGTTTCTGCTTCCTTTGAATCTTACAACACATTAGAAGGTATTCCTCCCATCCCTAAATAGGAAAACAATTCACCCAAAACCTCACTCCTGAATCTTAAAAGCATCAAGTTCCAATTATGCCACAAGTAGAAGAAATAATTCAGGGTACTCAGATGGGGATCAAGAGGCTCATCTCATTTCTGGTGCCTAGAGACAGGCTTAACCATTACATAACACGACTACCCAAGGAGCAAAGTGACACAGAGACACTTCTTCAACCTCACCTTCAGGCATTCCCATTTTATTTTCATCACCTCTTCTATCCAGGCCTGTCCACCTTCCTCTATGCTCTTTTACCCTCTCTCAACCAGGAGACTGCAGCACATTTGGAGAGAGTAAGGACTCACAATTCCTTCCTGCCTCCTACTCCTCATTTTCTCCCCTCCCCTCCTTTTCCTGTGTTTGTCCACGTGGAAGGGAAAGTGGGCAGCTGGCAGTGTTTACCTCTCAGGAGTGCCCTCACATTGTCTACGACCTAGTGCAAACCCCTTGTCTCGGAATCACTTCAACTCTTCATAAGCTGAGGTACCTACTTTTTAGCAAGTAAGGGCACTACATGCAAGTTGGGCAAGTTCAGCTCAGGAAGTGTGATGCTTGGGCTCTAAATCCTTGATGGAGGACACAAAGATCCCTGGAAAATGAGCATAATCATTTATGAAGAAAAGCAACAGAAGAGACGCAGAGGCGGCGTCACTGTTCAGTAGATCTGTCTTTCTGTCTCTGCATGTATCACCTTGGTTCGGTTTCTCCCCATCCCTGTCTCTCCTGTTCTTTCCCCCTCTCCTGCTCCCTGCTCCTCACTTTACTGCAAGACACAAGACAGGTGACAGGCTTAGGGGGCTGGGAAGGCCGGGAATTTGAATCTCACAGAAAGTCCAGCTACAGAACACAACCCGGGAGGGGCAGAAGGAGGTAGAGGACTCATGCACCCACCTGCCGACCTGCCACCAGCTGGGTTTCTCTGCCTGCCTGCCTTCTCCCCAACCTCCTCAGAGCCTCCTGGTGACCATCAGACCCTGTCACCACTTCCCACCGGCAGAGGGAAGAACTAGGAGATAAAGTTCATGAAATCAGGGGATAACTAACTTCCAGTGTGTCAATAATTCCCTCCTCCTGGACATTTCCCATATTTGGAGTCACTAAGACAAGGCCACCGCACAGGAGAGTCGTTTACCCTTCCAAGCTGAAAACCCATGTTCTGTTGCATACAAGCTTCCACGCATGGAGATGGTTTAGTGGAAGTCAGTACCGTAAATGAAAAAAGGCCATTTTCTGAAGCCCCAAACCCTAGATCCATTTTAATCACCCTTGGTGTTTTATTAGAATCATCTCAGGCAGAAATAGGAGCAAAAAGAGACATCCTTAGATGACCTGAAGAGTCAGCTCAATGGCCTGCCATCTCTCATGATTCTCCATCACACTCGTTTGCCTCTCTCGCCATCATCTGTTTATTTCCTATTCTCCATCTCTGACTCTGCCCCTGACCCTGTCAGGCCTATTTGATTTCCTTCTGAGGGGAGGGGAGAGTACCTTTCCAGACTAGCAACAGTTGGCTTCAGGGCCCTGCTCAGTACCTGTGCCCTCCTTACCCAGGCCCTACTTTCCTCCCAGCCCCTTGCCTACGACCTTACTCAGATTATCAGAAACACTTCTAGTCATTGACTATGAGTAAAATATCCACAATAATCAGAAACTAGCCCTCACTGAGGGCCAGTTTACCCTCACTCCCCACTACTGCGCTCCATCAGGTTCTCTCCACTGCAAGGCCAACAGCCTCTATCATGATGCTATTATCTCCACCTTAGCACCTCAACTGCAATGCCACAGTCCATGCCACCTCCCAGCATGCTAATGAGGAGACTCACTCCACTCCACTCCTATCCAATGGCTTGTTTAGCCCTCGATCCATGGAGACAAGAAATGAGAGCACCTTCCAGAAACCAACTTCCAAGCTTTGGCTCCCACAAGCACCCCACTGCCTAGCTCATCTGCCCCACCCAGATCTGAACACCATGAGCAAGATCATCAGGAGTTTCCTGGGAGCCTCAACAAAATTCTGAACAGTTTACATCAAGTGGGTAGAAGTCAGTAAATGCAAGCCTTTCTTGAATCATGGAAGACTGTATAAATTTCCTTTGTAAATTAGGAGAACCATATTCAGTGGAAATAGAAATAGAAAAGACTTTGAAGATTTGGCAAGTAAGTTAACTAGCTCATTCCAGGGCTGTCTCTCGTAACCCTCTCGGTCCAGCCTCAGCCTCTGCTGTCACTGATCTCTCCATCTTGTCTCTGCCTTCTTCTCTGTGTCTCCCCTCTCTGTGGCCTACCTTATCTTCCCCTTTCCCTACTTGCTTTTCCCCCAGACATTATAGAAGAGAATTCCTTAGGTCGTAGGCTAGTCCAGATGGCTTTGCATTTCAACTGTTGCTCAAAGAGAGCTTGTTGGTTCCCCACAGATACATATTTAAGTGTAATTTGGGGAATCAAAAGCACTCTTTGCTCTTCCTTCAACATCACCTTCTCTTAGCTACCTCAGAGCTGCGCAGTCTGCACTCCTCCCAACAAATGCCAATCATTCAATGACTTGCTAAAAAGAGAGCACACACTAGTGAGGGTAGGAAGGTCAAGGGAAATGGAGTATTGACATCAGGAGTTTCATTTTTTCTGTTCAGAACCTGTATGAACTGCACTATGCACTCTCTATTTAGGAGCCTCAGTTGGTACACACCCTGCTTGTCAAATAGAAAATTTAGAAGAGTCTTTTCCTCTCTTCCCTGTGTGGTCCCTGAGTCAGTTGACATTTATGGCAATGATTGTTGGGAATTTCCAATGGAGTCTTGAATCTCATCACCATTCCCTTTTCCCAAGAGAGACAACTAGAGGGGCTCCTCCCCACGACCCCACTCCAGCAATCACAACAACGGTTATGTATAACGTACACGGTTCACCCAGGGCCTAACCATGCCACAACCCATTCTACTTCTCACCTGTTCCCTCCTCTTTCACCTCACTTCTAACAGGCTCTATCAAAGACACTTGCAAGGGCAGCCTCTCCCCATTCCTACTTCCCATCCTTTGGGTTTCCAGCTGCAGAACATACCAGCACCCTCTCTTTAGTTCAATTCTTCCCTCTCATTCCCCCAATGGAGGAGTGGCTTCTGCAATTCTCATAATCACAGTGGGGAAAGAAACAGACAACTAGAATGGCCTATTTTCCTGGCACTCTTTTAGTTCTCCACTCACTGCCTCCTACTGCCTTTGAACTACCAGACTTAACCCCTCCCCTCCCCTCCCAAAGGGAGCAATAATAATAGCTAGCACTTACTGAGTGACAACTATGTACCAAGCATGGTTTGCTCAGCTTTTCTGGGACTCCAGCTCTCAGTCCTTGTGACACTCTCTCTCCTTTGTCAAACTTTCCATCTCTCAACTCCCTGACTCATCTCTCTTTATCTCCAACTCCATCTTCTAACCAGTTATGGGGTGATCCACTGTCATTCTTCCAGGGACCCCATCTTATGTGACTACACCCTTCAAGGATGGGCCACTCCATTTATCTGACCATCATTAGCTACTCTCAGGAATTATCTCAAGGTCCAGGCTACCCTTTTCACCATCCAAGCCAGCTCTTACCACAACCACTGCCTCATCACCCCATTGCCAGTTCAGCCCTGATTCCTGGACCTTAAGAGTCCCCAGAAGTGACCCCATCCTTTTCCCCAGGTCCCAGAACCTATCCAGGCCCCAAGAATGGCCACAGCATTTCACACAGGTTACAAGAACTGCAATAAGCACTTTTGACTCCACTCTTCTGCTGCCTGATTCCTCTGTCCCCATTCCTGGCCATCTTTTCCTCCCTCCTGCCCACTCACTTGCCCACCAACTGTTTAGCAAAGCAAAACCCCCTTTATTAAGTGATTCATTCAATACGACACTCTTATTTTCTCTTGAAGGGTTCGTTTGTACTTTTAGAGCCCCAAACGCATTCTTTCTTTGGGGCCGAAAATTGCTTTACACCCTTTACTGAGAAGACGCTGGATTTTGAGTGTGAAAAACGGCTGAATCAACTTCGGAAAAAAATAAAACCGTTACCCCAGGATCTCGCGAAGCAAGAACTGACTAGTAACTGTCACCACGCTTCCAAGGCTCATCATTCATTGGGCTATTGACCTGTCAATCACTTCTGCTAGGCCAATGAGCAGCAATCCCTGACACAAACGGAGGTTGGAGGACAGGCCAATCGCTCCCGGCTATGTGAGCCACTGGAGAAGTTCCTGATGCCCACACCTGCTGGTCTCACTGCCAGGGCCTGGGCGTCACAGGCATGGGGAATGGGGAGGGGACGGTAGCGTCAGCCTAGACCCACACGCAGGTTAGAGCCTTTGGACGGGGAAGGGGAAAAGGCTTAGCACCTACTAATGGGTTCTATTAATAGTAGTAGTGCTAGGTAGGCTGCACTGGCTGTATTCTGCCCCCACGCTTACCGTTCCCTCACTCTGTGACCCTGGGCGAGTCTCTTCCTCATCCTGGGACTCAGTTGCCTTTTCATAAGGAGAGGGTTGATTCCCCATGATCTTTCTACTCCTTTGCTTTTGGATATTTTGGAAGACGCCCTGCCTCAAGAACGGGAGAACCCAGATTATCCACAGGCTAGTTAATTGTGAACGTCAGGGAAAGGACCAGAGGACAGAAGCACTTCCAGGATCCAGAGCCAGGAGGATGCTCAAAAGGAAAGAAGGAGAGATGCCCTTCGGCCAAAGGGAGAGCTTGGAGGGTGAAGGGAAGTGGTTGCTTACCAGAAGGGCCTCTGAGTGTGAACTCAAAAAATAAAGGATGACCGAGCGTGGAGGCTCATGCCTGTAATCCCAGCACTTTGGGAAGCCAAGGCGGGCAGATCACTTGAGGACAGGAGTTCGAGACCAGCCTGGCCAATATGGAGAGACCCCGTCTCTACTAAAAATACAAAGATTAGTCAGGCGTGGTGGCGGGCGCCTGTAATCCCAGCTACTTAGCTACTCGGGAGGCTGAGGCATGAGAATCGCTTGAACCCGGGAGCTGGAGGCTGCAGTGAGCCGAGATTGCACCACTGAACTCCAGCCTGGGTGATAGAGTGAGACCCTGTCTTAAAAAAAAAAAAAAAAATAGAGGAAACATTGTAGTCCACTGTCCACTCAAACAGGGTTAGGCGGAGAGGAAAAAGCTATTGAGAATGAAGAATGTCCTTTAACCCCACTTATGGATTGTTCTGATTCTTTCCTGTAGTTTCCTGATATAAGGTCCTTTTGAAACATTCATTCTCTTCTCACCAAGTTGAACGGAGATGTGTTCCCATAGTAAGAGTGAGGGCCCTGCATTTGCTGCCCTCGGTTTTCCCAATCAACACCAAGGCCTCCCCCCGTACCCCATTCATACGCCTCAGAAGCTGACAATGACTGTTGGACTTTTCCAGTGAATACCAGAACACCATTTCCTGCAGCCTGAAAAGAAGACAGTATAATTATTTGGCAGCCAGAGGTGAGCATGGGTAAGGAGGGCGGAACTCTTTCACTCACACCCACCCCTCCTCCTCTCTCCTTTCCTTTTCCCCAGATTCTTTCTCCCCAGCCCTTCCCTCCTCCCACCTCCTGAATCTAGCCCAGGCCACCAAAATTTTTTCTGCATTTCAGTCCCTCCCCAGAAGACCTGTTCCCTAGCACTGGTTCATCGTTGTCTGCTCCACTGAGAAATAACCGGCTCCCAGAAAGTTTGAGAAATTGATTTGCAGAAAGAGGGCACCAAATCAGTTTAGAGGCAGGGTCTGTAGTCAGTAGAGTTGGCAAATGCCATTTCCCTGATCCACTGGGTATCTGAATACTTGGCATTGGCCCTTGAGAGCTCATCAACTGTGGATGTGTAATAAGCTTGTCCAGGACCAAAAGTGCCTCTTGCTGCTTAAATGTCTACCAAAAAGATTCCACTTGTCAAAGCACCTGCCTCCCTGCATTGACTTATTTTACCCTCTGTCTCCTTTTTCTCACTTTCACACTGTTCTCCTCGTTGTCTCTTTTGCTGTGCCCTTCTCTCTCTCTGGTTCGATTTCTTTTTTCCAGGCCAAGCAAGAAACCAGGGACATGGTGATGGCAGTGGCCCCAAGGAGGAGCTTTAAACCTGAGCACCACTCACAGGGGGCAGACCACCCTCCCGGCGCCAGTGCAAACGAATGTCGGCCCCCACCCAGGTCCTCAAGTGCTTTCCCAGTCATGCCCCAGCTTCCAGGTTTGTTCTCCAGGCCTACTACAGATGGGTTACCCTGACTCCACCCCCAACACCCTCCAATGATTAGAACCACCGACTCCTCCCTCCCTTGCCTGCCTCCATGGCAGGCCCCTGCAGAAACCAAACATAGTCACCTTAGACTCTGGCATACTGAGACCACGGCTTGATCCTGGACCTCTTGCCTGCCTGGCAATTTATCATTTAATAAAAATATTGTTAAAGAATATTCATGCGTCTCAAATATGTGTATTGTTTCAGAATGTAGCATCAAATTACATCCCCTCTTCTTTCTCCCCTTTTTCCCCATTGTATCTTTTCTGGGATTACAATGACAAAGAGAGGCTGAGAATGAAGGTAAATTTGGGGAAAGTGCAACAATCTCCATTTCTCAGAAGAAAACGACAATAAACTGTGCTATACACTTAAGGGCAAGGTGTTTGGGAGTGTAGATGTCCCTGTTCCCACCAACTAAGAAGATGGACCAGCCTGGCCTACATAGTGAGACCTCGTCTCTACTAAAAGTACAAAAATTAGTCGGGCATGGTGGTGCACACCTGTAGTCCCCGCTATTCAGGAGGCTGAGGCAGGAGAATCGCTTGAACCCAGGAGGCGGAGGTTGCAGTGAGCCGAGATTGTGCCACTGCACTCCGGCCTGGGTGACAAGAGCGAAACTCCGTCTTTAAAAAAAAAAGAAAAGAAAAAATGTGTTTCCCTGGGCACAGGACATTGCACCGGATTGGGGAGCATTTTCCCTACTCTGTTAGGACATTATGTAAAAAAGACTGAGGGTTCTCTGTGTTATTTATAATAAAAGGCCAAAAATAGTTACATCTGAGTTGATTCATGTAGTGAACTATTGTGTAGCTGTTAAAAGGCATTTGAAGACTTTTTTCATGACAGAAGGCAAAAGGCATATTCCAAAACTGTATGTGCAGTATGTTCGTAATTTTATAAAGTATGCGTATAGGAACTTTGCAGAAAGATAGACACCCAAATTGCCAGAAGTTGGAATTCTAGCTGATTTTTATTTTATCATTTTTTTTCCACAGTGAACATTATTATCATGAGAAAAAAGAAATCCCATATTGTAAAAGTTATTGGGTCTTCCCTGCTGGAAATGAAGAAGGAATCACAGCTGCTCTGGTAAGGGAGCTGTTAGGGCCAGTGCTCTCTGACACTGACAGCTTAGGCCAGCGGAGGTGGAAGGCCTTCATGGGAGCCAGATCCTATAATCCTGCCAACCGTAAGGAGGAGACAGATTTAGATCTGGTGGAGGACAAGGCAGTCTGTTCCTCCCTCACCACCTCCCACTCACTTTTCCTTTCTCTTACACCTTCTTTGTGCTGCAGTGACAAGCACTCTGCTCTCAAGGGCTGAAGACCTGGGTCCACATCTTGACCCTCGCACTCCCTAGATAGGTGGCTGGATGAATTTTTCAGTCCTACCAAACCTTACCCCGTTCACCTACAAGACACAAGAGCAGAAGCCTCAAATTGATCACGAGGAGCTCAATCGTACCTCAGGGACTTTGCAATTTTTTTTTAACACGCCCACATCTTCTTAGCAGCAATTCTTTACCCTCTTTCCAGAATGTCATTCCCCCAGATTTCATGTCGTTAGTTCCTTCTTGTCATTTGGGTCTCAGAGTGGTGCCTCCTCAAGGAGTTCCTCACTCCCCTCAGTCCCTCTCCATACATTTTTTATGTTTGCTGAGCACTGATCCCTAACTAAGATTATCTTACATATTCGCTAGCTTGCTTCTTGTCTCTTGGAAATTAAATTCTTTGGGAGCAGGAATCTTGCCTGCCTTGAGCACCATTGTATCTCCGTTACCTAAAACACTGTCTGTCGCTAATTAAACGAGTCAAGTACCGTGCAATACATTTTCACCATGTTTTCTTATTTAATCTTCCCAAGAACCTCGTGTGGTTTACGTATGAGAGACAGGTTAAGAACAGAGAGGTGAAGTACAATGAGTAAGTGGCAGAACCAGAATTAGCACTCACTCTGAAACACTTTCCACTTTGCTACCCCTCCCTCCCACGCAGCTGAAGGCTGTTTTGGAGAGGGCTGGGACGGTTCAAGGGCAGGGAACATTAAGAGCCAAATTTCTGAGTCTGGAAAGTTCAAAATAGGAAAAAGACAGAACTGGGTTATGGTCATGGGAAATAGAGGGAGAAAAAGGGCTGGAAAGAGCTGGAGAAGCTTGCTTGGAGTTTAGGATCTCGAGACCATTTTATAAGTATCTGAGTGACACACACTTCCTTTCATTCATTCCGTAAACAGACATTGAACACTTCCTATGGGTTTTAAGTGGTTCGGAACTTCCCTGGAAGGGGTAGCCCCCATCCTTAAGTAAACACCTACTGTGTGCTCCATGTGGCTCAGGACACATCTAGGCTGGGAGATCGTTGCGGTTGTCCTGCCGGTGCCTGGGGTACTGCCTCGAGCCAACTGGGTGTCTGCTTAGCAGGGGTTACCTGCCCTGAGCAGAGACAGATGGGAGATTTCAGTCATCATTAAGGTTTATTGACCAGCAAGGCTGGAATTTCCCAGAGAGAGGAATTAATCTCTGCCGACTGAGAGCAGACATCCTGCTGGGAGTAGTTACATAAATTCTGTTGCTCAAATTAATTAGGATTGTGATTCATTTGTTTAATGAGGAAGAATCTGATGACGGCAAGAGCCAAGCCAGCCTGGCCTTTCAGAGCCCAGCCAATCCCAGGTGACACTGTGGCAGGTGGGAGGACCCGGTGGCTGGAGCAGGGTTCTGCCATGGGCAGAAGAACCTAGCCAATCAGTAAGAGGAACAAACTGAGGCAGGCAAAGGCAGCCAATCAGAATTCAGTGCTAGCTTAGAAGTGGGTCCCAGGCTTTGGAGTCTCCCGAAGCTCGTGTCTGTGTGGTCTCTCAGTTCCCAAGCATGAAAGGATCTCTCAGCTTCATTCAGAGTCTTACACCCTCCTCTTTTTCCAAGCTGTGGAGAAAAACTTCTGACCCGAGATCACCTCAGCAGCACTCCCAGGACCCATCCAGCCATTTCCCCCATCCCCAAAGTTTGCAGGAGGAAGTGTTATTTCACTAAAGCAAAAACCTGTTGCCTGAAGCATTTAGAAATATTCTTCTCTTTCTCCTACCTCTATTTACAAAGTGACCCCTCCCTTCTACCCAAAATGCCCTGCCTGTTCAAGGTAAGCCCCAAATCCCACCAGCATCACTTCACTCTACCTGTGTGGCCCCTGCTGGCCTGGATCTTAGCTTCCTTAAGACTTGGGTCTCAGCTGCGGTAATACTGGTGAGAGACAGGATGGTTGCTGGATGAGGGTAGCCACGGTGGGGAGGGAGAGATGCAGAAACTCCACACAGCCCCAGGGGTCATGATTCATATCATAGTGTATGTGATGGTGCCCTCTGGGATAGAACAGAAAAGGTGCTTCCTGAAGGTGTGTTTCCTGGTGACCCTGAAGAAAAGAGGCCAGAGTCAGCAAATGTTTGGGAAGCCAGAAGGATTTGGTGATGGACTAGATGTTGGGGAAGAAGAAAGGAGAATAATGCAAATTTGGGGACTTATGAATTCACACCAACATCTGCAGAAGGCCCCAGGGAGCCTTGTTTTCTTTCAAGGCTCCCCCACCTCTTATTGTGACAGACCAGACTGGTGTACTTTGATAAATCATGAGTTGGACACAACAGGACCTGTGATGAAGCAGGAGTATTGTCAAGGGCGGGTGCTTGGCTGCTCCAAGGCCTTCGTCTTCTCTGCAAACCGGGCTGAGAAGCTTCACCCGGAACCCGGGTCAGTTGTGCCTCAGTTAGAGAATGTGTAGCCACAAAGGGCCACTGGTCTGGGAACCAAAAGTCTAAAATGGAGTGAGCTAGGACAGATCTTGTCAACTCTCTGGGCCTCACTTTCCTCGTCCTTGAAAGGTGTCTACGGTCTGCCCTGAGGAGAAAAGAGCTTCTGCTCTTGCTCCCTATAGATGATCGCCCGTCAGCTGCTAGAGAGATCTTTTGTAAATCTAAGTCAGACCTTGTTACTTCCTATATTTTAAATCCCTCTAAAGCCTTTTCAACACATTCAGAATTTCTAAAAAACACAAAAAAGAGAAACTAATCCTTGGCTAAGGAGGCCCATGTGATCTAGCCCCTGCCTGACTCTCAGCTCCGCTCCTCCGCAGCACCCGTTCCTCACCCCACTCTGCCCACGCCAGCACTCCTTCTGATCCTTGAATCCAAGCCCACTCAAATCATAAGGCCTTTGCACTGACTGGTCTCTGTCCCTGGGGCATCTTTCCCCAGCTCTTTACATGGGTGGAAACTTAATTCTTTCACTGCTTAAATGTCACCTTCTTGGACAGACTTTCCCCAACTAATCTAAAGTAGCCCAGGCTCCATCCATTACCCTAATTTTTCACTGTAACACTTTTTACTACCCTTCTTTTATTGGTTTGTTGTCTACCTTCCTCACCTGGAATTCAAGGTCCACGAGCCCAAGGGCCTTCCCCATGGCATCAGTCAGGGTCCAGACCAGAGAACAGGAACTGCACTAGATATTTCAGAGGTGTCATTTAATAAAAGGAGTTAGTTTAGATAAAACATATTAGAGGAAGAAGAAAAATCTAAAAGCGAACACTGAAGTAAGACAGAGGTAATAACCACAAGAAGTAGTGTGTGTTGTCAGAATATACGTGCTGAGGCTGGGCACGGTGGCTCACACCTGTAGTCCCAGCACTTTAGGAGGCTGATGCAGGAGGATCGCTTCAGGTCAGGAGTTCAAGACCAGCCTAACCAACATAGCAAAACCCCATCTGTACTAAAAATACAAAAATTAACCGAATGTGGTGGTGGGTGCCTGTAATCCCAGCTACTTGGGAGGCTGAGGCAGGAGAATCATTTGAACCCAGGATGTAAAGGTTGCAGTGAGCCGAGATTGTGCCACTGCTCTCCAGCCTGGGCAACAGAGTGAGACTCC